AGGGTGATGCAGACAGCAGCAGCAGTATCAGGAGTTCTGTGTGGGTGCGTGTACCTCTACTGATTGTGGTGACACTGGCCTCTATTCTTGTGTGCTGATTGTAATGGTGGTGTTGGTGTGACTCAGGTCATCCTTTGTTTTCTTTCTTTTTGTATGCATTACTACAGTCTAACTATTCTTCCACCTGTTGGGATTTCTTTTTTCTTTTTTTGTGTTTCTTAATGTTAATGTGTTTTGTGTGTGTTTTTACTCTCTGTGTTTATCCTATAATAATTATTATTGCTGCTCCATGGTGTGTGTGTGTGTGTGTTATTGGAGACTCTCTCTGTGTGTGCCTGGGCTTGCACTGTGATAATGAACTGCTTTTTGCAGTGTGGAAATAAAGAAATAATAATAACAGATGAATTTATATTTATAATTGCATATATACACACATATATAGAATTACACCCACAGTTGGTGTGTATTTCTCTTTTTACTGGGTAAATTGGGCTAATGTTTAATATCTTTTTGTTTGTTTGCTTTTGGTTTGCTGGGGTCGTTGTGTGTTTTGCCTTGCATTCTTTTGCTGGTGGACTGCTTTGTGTAAATGGAAAAAAGGAAGTGATGCATTTTTATATTTTTCTTCTTCAGTGAATATTAACAGAGGCGTAACCATAGTGCTTTATTTGTGTTCTTTGTTGTTGTTGTTGGTCTTGCAACTAATTTTTTTTCTTTTTTGTTTTTGTTTTGCTTGGTTGTTATCTAGGGTGCTCTATTACGGAGCTCCTTATTCTTTCATTTGCTGTGTTGTTTTTCTGTAAGTGTTCTTGTTCTTTTGTTCTTTCCTTTTTGTTTGTAAATCTATTTAGTGGACTGTATTTTTTTGTTCTTTCTGCTTGACTTTTGTTTTCTCTAGCCAGGTGACATCAATCAGCTGAAGTATCTTATGTTGTAATGGTGCTGCGACGTGTGTTTTATTTTCTTGTTTTCCTTTTGAACATTATCTGTGTGTGTGGGGCGATTGGTGTTTCTGGTTCACCTCCACCAGCAGCACCTCCTCCTCGTGCTGATCAAGATAACAGTGATTCTCTTACCAATGTTGGTCAGGAGACTACTACATTACGCCCAGGTCCTGAAGAACCTGGGCCAGATAGTAGTGGATTGGACGCAGGACGTTCTCATTCTAAGGATGTCGAACGTCAACAGGAGGAAGGAGCCAGTGGTAGTGCACTTAAAGCAAAGTCATCCCAACCCAATGAATCTGAGGGTGGCCTTCTTCCTGGTGCAAAACCTGCAATAAATACCCTAGGTACAGGGGATTCCCCACAACGGGGTTCCGATCACATCAATGGGCAAAGTGAACATAATCATCAAGGTGGTAGTAGTGGCAGTGGCAGAACAGAGCCATCAAAGCCAAGTGCAACGGATCCTGAACAGAATAGTGAACTTAAGGACAAATCAAATAAGAATCCTGACACCCTCTCACCCGTTCCATCTCCCAGTAAACCCAGTGAAATTCCGACCGCTCCAGATAGTTCCAGTGAACAGCTGCAGGATACCACACCTACGGGCACACAAGACTCTACACAAAACGATCACAGTAATGATAAAAGTACTGACAGAACAGGAAATACATCAAACCAGGATGGTACAGCACCACAATCCTCTACTTCCAGCAATTCATCCACAGAGAATGCTGCTGGATCTGATAATGCAAACGCTGAGAATGGCACTGCATCTGAAGCGAGTGGAACAACAAGTAACCACGAAGCTGTTGCAGGTAATACAAATGCAACCACCACTACTACTACTGCCACCACCACAACAACACTTCCTCCTGAACTCACAAACAACAAGAAGGGTGATGCAGACAGCAGCAGCAGTATCAGCAGTTCTGTGTGGGTGCGTGTACCACTACTGATTGTGGTTACACTGGCCTGTATTCTTGTGTGCTGATTGTGATGGTGGTGGTGTGGTGTGACTCAAGTCATCCTTTGTTTACTTTTTGGAACCCTACAGTCTAACTAATCTTCCACCTGTTGTGGAGTTCTTTTCTTTTTTGTTTCTTAATGTTTATCACATAATTATTATTATTGCTACTCCCTCTATGTGTGTGCACCTGGGCTTTGCACTGTGATGATAATGAAGTGCTTTTTGTAGTGTAAAAAAGGAAATGATAATAACAGATGAATATATATTTATAATTGCGTATATACACATACATAGACGTACACCCATAGTTGGTGTATTTCTGTGTTTACTGTGTAAATTGGGCTAATGATTAATATCTTTTTCTTGGCTTCTTTGTGTTAGTGGGTCGTTGATCTTTTTTTGAGATATTTGTGAGTGTGGGCTTTTTTTGTTTTTACTCTTACTGAGGTTCTTGCGCTGTATTGCATTCTTCAACTGGTAGGTTTTACTTTTACGATGTGAGATTCTATAGTGGTAATTGATTTTTGTGTCCTAACATGTTTGATACTTCATTTATTTTCTTTTTTTACTTTTTGATTGTCTTCCTTTCTAGATCAGTGTTTTTACGCAAACCAAACTACTGTCACTCTCTCATGATGACGATGATGTGCCGTGTGATGTGTCTGTTGGCCGTTGTGCTGTGCTGCGCCTGCGGGTCTGCCGTGACTGTTGGAGTTGCGGCCAAAGAGGTTTCAAGTAATAATAAGTTGCATGAAGCTGCTGATATTAGTTGGCATCAGTTTCCTGCTGTTGCACCTGCGGAAAGAGAGAAAGATGCAAAGTAAATGGAATGTAAGAAAGCCCCTAATAATACAGTTAAAGGAATAAACTGTGAGGAATGGGACGAATTTAAGCCGAAGCCTCCCATCCAACCAAACCACACTGACAATCTTGCAAACCCGACAAGAGAAAGTGGAGTAGAATCAACCAGGGTTGAACCAGTGCGTGTAAGTAAACCACCAGCATCAGATTCACCTAGAGAAACCTCTGACAGAGAAGGATCTTCCACTGACGTTGCTTCTTCTGTAAATCCACTACAAGAGGCTGGTAATGCTGAAAGCACAACAGGAACAGGTGCAATACCAACGCAAAGCCCACCTCAGGACTCTGCTGCAGCACAACAAAGTAACAACGAAGAGTCGACCACAGGTAACAGTACTTCTGGCGCAGCCACGAGTGTGAGTGGGAAAACTGAAACAGAAGAAACCACTTCCACTACTCCACAGAGCCCCGAGGACACTGTCAGTGATGCACCAACCACCACTTCATCTCCTGCACCTGTACCCAACGCAGAGATCAGCAGCATTGCCTCCACTGTACAGAATAACAAGGCCAGTGGTGACAGCAGTATCAGTCCTGTGTGGATGCGCACTGCAGCACCGCTGCTGATTGTGGCTGTGTTGTTCTCCGTTACCGTGTGCTGAACGGTGGGACTCACTTGGGAGAAATAATAATAATAATGGTTAATACTAACATAATCATATTTGCGTACATCCCTCATGGGTGATTAAACTAATAATCTGTTTACCAGCTTTCTCTTTCAATTCGAATTTTTTTTTACTTTTATGTGTGTGTTCTTTTTTCTAATAATTCCATTACTTGCTTTTTCCGTTGTGTGTGGGCAGAAAACTGGGCTGTTCTGCTCACTGACGGTATACATCTCTTGCTAGTACACACAGATGTGTGTGTGCAGTAATTTAATATACATAAACTAGAGCCATGGACTATTGTGTGTGTGTTTGGCTCTCTATTATTTGGGTATTGTGGGGTCTTTTCATTTTTTTTTTATATTAAGGGATACATATTATCATAAAAGCGGGATATTTCTTTTTGTTGCTTTACTGTGCATTTGCAGCTGCTTCTCTCCTTTCCACTGTGAGTATTTGTGTCTCGCATCCACTCTCCATGTTTCTCTTTTTCTCTCTATTCCTTCTTTTTTTACTTTTTCAACACTCCCTGTGTAGATCTGTGATCTCAAGTGACGAGACGACAAGAAGAGTAACAATGACCGTTTCGATGATGATGCGCAATATGTTTTTCGTACTTGCTTTGATTCTGTGTGTTACCTCTTTTTGTGTGGCTGCTGAAGAGCGTCTTGGTGAAGGTGTTGTTCCAGAAACTGAAGCTAAAGCTAGAGTTCTTAGACCTGACGAGGAAAGGAGTGATCTGCCACCTGTTAATCCCCCAGGTTCTCCTGGTTCTCGAGGTCCTGCTGGTCTTCCTCCTCCTCTTGATCACGCTTCTGGCCATGGAGAGGTTGTTGAGAAACGTATTCCAGAAGAAATACCTCCCTTATTACCAAAACCATCAGGTGCGGAGGAACAACAACCGAGATCTGATGCGGATAGAGAGTTGGCAGAACAAAAAGTGAAAGTTCCAGACGCTCAGGAACACAAAAAACATTCTTTAGAAGAGACCACAGAAGTCGTCAATCATGCACCCACTCCAGGATCTCATCCTTCTAAAGAACAAGGCGACTCTACTCATCTCCCATCTCAAGGTGCTCCATCTTCTGTTACTCCATCAGGTGAAGAAGAGAGCAGAGGGCAGTCTGACAGTGAAACAACAACAGTAAGCCCTGGTACCTCAGAAAACCCCAATGGTACGGATAATGTGCAAACACCTGGAAAAGAACAGAGTACTCAGACGGGTAATGGTACACAAGGCACAAGTGATGCGCAGGGCACTACAAACGCACAAGAAGCTACAATCCCACAACCTTCTTCTCCTTCTGACACTTCCAGCAGTTCAATTACAGATAATACCGACGAAACAACTTCTGGGAGTGATGACACCGGTTCACAGAATGAGTCTACAAACATCACAGGTGTTGCAGGAAATACAACCACTACTACTACTACTACTACCACCACTACAACCACAACAACAACAACACTTCCTCCTGAACTCACAAACAACAAGAAGGGTGATGCAGACAACAGCAGCAGTATCATCAGTTCTGTGTGGGTGCGTGTACCACTACTGATTGTGGTTACACTGGCCTGTATTCTTGTGTGCTGATTGTAATGGTGGTGTGGTGGTGTGACTCAGGTCATCCTTTGTTTTCTTTTCTTTTTTTGCATGCATCCACACTACAGTCTAACTAATCTTCCACATGTTGGGATTATCTTTTCTTTTTTTGTTTCTTAATGTTAATGTGTTTTGTGTGTGTTTTTGCTCTCTATGTGTTTATCCTATAATTATTATTGCTACTCCATTGTGTGTGTGTGTGTGCCTGGGCTTGCACTGTGATGATGATGATGAACTGCTTTTTGCAGTGGGAAAAAGAGAAATAATAATAACAGATGAATTTATATTTATAATTGCTTGTATACGGACACATATATAGACTTACACCCATAGTTGGTATATTTCTGTGTATACTGTGTGAATTGGGCTAATGGTTAATATCTGTTTGTTTGTTTGCTTATGGTTTGTTGATTTGCTTTTTGCAGAATAAAAGAGTAACTGATACATATTTATTGTTAATTGTTTATGTACAAATGCACATCACGGTCTCAATGCTGTTTATATGCAGTTGGTGGGTTTGTTGTCTGTGCTCGTAATTTGTTTATAATTTTTTTTGCTTGGGTTTTTCTGTGTGAGGTGTCTCTTTATTCTTCTATTTTTTGTTTGTGTTAGTGTTCTTCTTTTGTGTGACCGTTGCTTGTTGCATTCTTTCCCGTGTGTGTGTTTCTAATTTATTTTACTTTTGTTATATTTTATTTTTTGATATTTTACAGTTTATATACCTAAGAAAACAAACGAGAATTAAAGTTTTTCGTGATGAGGGTGCTGCGACGCGTGTTGTATTGTTTTGCTCTCCTGCTGAGTGTTGCTTCTCTCTGCATGTCCGCTAGCGAGGCTGCTGCAGCTGCTGAAGCTCCTACTGAACCTCGTTGCCCTTGTGGGCCTGAATGTCCTTCTCCTCCTGTACCTGGTGGTTCTTGCCCTAATGGAATCCAACCTTGTCCTGCTGCTGCTGCTGCTGCTGCTGCTGCCGCTAAACCTGCTCCTGGTTCATGTCCTGATACTGGATCTACTGGTGCTGATACTGGTGATACGTGTACTTCTCCTGCTCAAGATGCATCTGGTAGTAATGGTGGTAGGGATCCATCTAAAGTAACAGCACCTGAGTTAACAGGAAAAGGAGGTCACGCTTCTTCTGGTGAAGTTGCTGCTGCTGGTGAAAGAGGTGAACAGGGTCCTGCTGGTGCTGGTGCAACTACTTGTCCTGATGGTGATGCAGATAATGCTAAGTGTCCCAAAGATACAACATTACGAAACAAACCTATTGAAGAAGAAGCGGCTGCTGGGCGTTCACAAGGTCAAGATGCTGAACATGGTGTTGGTGCACCAAGTAAAGGGCCTGCTGTAGCCGATCGCGCTGGTGCTCAAACTCAAGAGGAACCTCCGGGCCCTCGAGGAGAACAAGAGGCTGCTGCACCTACTGATTCTGCTATGAATCCTGATGCACCTGCAAGTGAACCTAACACTGGAAACAGCAGAAACAATGAAGGCAGTGAAAGTGAAACATCACAACCTCCATCTTCTCGTAACGGTACAGCCCCAGCGAGTGAAGCTGGTTCTAATCCTTCATCGACTGAACCTGATAATACACCTTCAGGGAGTGAATCAACAAGCAACATCGAAAGTGTGGGAAATACAGATACAACCACCACAACAACAACACTTCCTCCTGAACTCACAAACAACAAGAAGGGTGATGCTGACAGCAGCAGCAGCAGTATGAGTTATGTGTGGGTGCGTGTACCACTACTAATTGTGGTTACACTGGCCTGTATTCTTGTGTGCTGATTGTGTAGTGGTGTGGTGTGACTCAGGTCATCCTTTGTTTTTTTTTTCTTTTTTGTATGCATCCACGCTACAGTCTAACTAATCTTTCACCTGTTGGTAATTTATTTTTTTTTTTTTGTTTCTTAATTTGTTGTGTGTGTTTTTGCTCTCTCTATATTTATCCTATAATAATTATTATTATTGCTACTCCATTGTGTGTGTATGTGTGTTCTTGGAGACTCTCTCTCTGTGTGTGCCTGGGCTTGCACTGTGATGATAATGATGATGAACTGCTTTTTGCAGTGGAAAGAAAGGAAATAATGTTAACAGACGAATTTATTTTTATAATTGCATATACACACATATAAACTTACACCCATAGTTTGTGTATATTTCTGTGTTTACTGTGTAAATTGGGCTAATGGTTAATATGTTTTTTTGCTTGTTGGTTGTGCTGGGTGGTTCAGCCTTTTTTGAGATATTTGTGAGTGTGGGCGTTTTTTTTTGTTTTTACTCTTACTGAGGTTATTGCGCTGTATTGCATTCTTTAACTTGACTGTTGGGTATTTATTTTTGTAATGTGAGTTTCTCTTTGGTTTTGTATATATCTCTTACTATGTTTAATGCTTCTTTTTTTTTGCTTTTTGATTTTCTTTCTTTTTAGATCAGTGTTTTTACGTAAAACAAACCCTTTGTCTCTCTCTCATGATGATGATGATGATGATGATGAGCCGTGTGATGTGTGTGTTGGCCGTTGTGCTTTGCTGTATGAGTGTGGGTGGAGCAACGAGTAACAGCGGCGTTGAGAATGATTTGAAAGAGATTAATGATTTGGGAAAACGTGCCATTGCATTTGCAGAAGCAACGAAGACGGCGAAGGAAGAGACTTTGAAGTTGAATGGTGAATGCAGTTCTGCTGCAAAAAATGCCAATGACTTAACCGGCGCAGCCAATGAGTTTGTACATAAAATTGATAAGTTGCTCGCAAAACCGGAGAGTGTCCCATCTGTTCTGGAGACTGAGAAGATAAAAGGCGATGAACTTCTGGAGAAAGTAAAGAAGGCCGCAGCCTATGCAAAAAATATTGCAAGGTTAACTAAAGCAGCAAAAAAGCCGATTATTGAAAACGGAGAAGCTGCTCGGCAGCTATTAATTGATTTTAACAACTCATATAAGAGTATGACGTCACCCAACAAAGGAGGTGATAAAGAGGAAAGACTGAAGGAGCTTAAAAAAAAGGTAGACACCGCATTCCCTAATACGAATGAGGATAATCTCGCACAATTCGTCTTCGCTGGAATCGATGCCGCAGATGAAGCACAGGCGGCGGCAAAGAAAGCTGAAGATACAGTGGAGCCAGCGGAGACAGCTGCTAACCTTTTGGACAAGGCCTTAAAGAAAATCGAGGACGCCGTTAATGCTGCTAAGGAGAAGAGTAAAGAAAGACCACCACAAGAAACCCAAGGATCATCGAATAACAAACAGGATCAGAGTTCCCCCATCGACTCTACTTCTACCAAGCAACCATCTCCTGCAAATAGGACTGCCACACCAGACTCACAAGAAAACAATTCCACTACTTCGCCGATCTCCGAGAACACTGTCACAGAGGCACCACCCACCACTCCATCTCCTGCACCTTTACCCAACGCAGATACTAACAACATCGTCTCCACAGTACAGAACAACAAGGCTAATGTTGACAGCAGTGTCAGTCCTGTGTGGATGCGCACTGCAGCACCACTCTTGATTGTGGCTGTGTTGTTCTCCGTTACCCTGTACTGAACGGTGGGAAACATCTGAGGACAAATCATAATAATGGTTAAACTACCATAATCATAATTGCGTACATCCCCCATGGGTGAATAAATTAATAATCTGTTTACCAGCTTTCTCTTTTAATTCGAATTTCTTTTATTTTACTTTTATATGTGTGTGTTCTTTTTCTAATAATTTCATTACTTGCTTTTCCCGTTGTGTGTGTGCAGGAAACTGGGTTGTTCTGCTTACTGACGGTATACATTTCTTCTAAATATAGACATGCGGATGTGTGCACCATTTTCTTATTAACTTGAATTTTGGGGATTGGGTGTTCTGTTTTATAATTCCATTACTTTTTTGTTTCCGTTGTTTGTGTGTAGAATCTTTTGTTCTTTCTCACTGACGGTACAATTGTTTTACTGGTACACATGAATATGTGCGTCTCATTATTTTTATCACTATTATTGACACATATTGAGTTTTTTTTTGTTTATGGATAGTTGATTTTGTTTTCTTTTTCTTTTTTTTTAATTTTTTATAGGTGGTAGGTATCGCGGGTGGAATTCTTTCTTTTTCTTCTTCGTGCGTAATCCTTATTTTTGCTTTTTAGAATGTTTCGCTGTACACGGCCAGAACAGCACCGTAGTGGGAAAGCTCGTGCTTTTGTGTTCCGTGATCCCACGCTTAAAATGATGCGGGCGGGTAGTGGATATCAACAACTTCGGCGTATGGGAATGCCTGTACAAGTGGGTTTGGGATGGCGGAAAGTGGATAGTTTTCACGCGAATAATCAGTACCAGCATGCTTGGCCG